ATATGACAAACATAACAAACCACCAGTACCTGGTAAGAATGAATCATCTGACAGGCATACAATTATTTTAAAAGCACCAAAAATTTTAAATGCTCAAGTTTTGCCTCCTTAAGCAATATTATATGAAGAATAAAGACTACTTGTTAGTATAGAATATACTCTTTTAAACATTACTAAAACAAAAATTAAAAGCTAGGGGAAAAGAAATACTACATTTGAGTAAAGGATGTACTGCTAGAAATGAGTTAAAACATTAACAATCTTAAGAGATTTGCAGGAGAAACTTTTTCTTCTATAAAACCGAGCCCATAGACACTTTATTCCTGTCCTTTCTACACTATTACTGCTTATCTTAATATTTAGAACACATAAAGCCCTCATAGTCACTTAACAGAGTACATTCTTCTTCAAAACAAACTTACCTGATGAACTAAATCCACTGAGGGCTGAGCCTAGAGCGGCACCCAAAGAACTACCACTTCCAAAGCCAAGAGATGTACTTCCAGGCTGACCAGGTCCATGAGAAAACAAAGAACTGCTCTGGGAGTTATTAGTCAAAGAACTGCTCCCATAAAATGAATTAGACTGCAGATTAGTGCTTGGTGGCTGCTGTTGTTGTGGTGGTGGCTGGGTGCCAATTGGTCGAAAAAGACCATTCGTGCCGCTTGTAAGACTATTTGCAGTTCCCCCAGCTGCTGCCGCTGCTGCTGCTGCTGTAAAATAAATTTCAGATACTTCTTCAAAGTAACCACAGCAACATTCTGCATTTTTAAAATAGTATCTCAAACAGTACACTAATGGTCCTGAAGATGTTAGTTGCACTTACCAGCTTGTGCTGCTGCTGAACTAATTAAAACAGGGGTGGGAGCCATTAATCGAACTGGAGCTCCAAGGCCAGTTCTTGCTCCAGGGCCAACTACTAAGGCACCAGTCTGATCATAATAGGCAGTCGGAGCTAATACTTGATAGCCTAGATAACAAAACAAATGTTTATCAATAAAAACACTTCTTACAGAACCATGCATATTTTTTCCCTTAGTATCTGTTGTCAACCAAAACCAACAGCATTTGACATTACTCCGACAAAACCCTTAAAATACCTCATATATGAAAAGCAATATTAACTGAAATGATGTTGTCAAATACATTAGGAAATAACAGAATGTAAATATTTTTTACTCTAAATTTAAACTGATAGCTTTAACAGAAATGTCTTAAAGGCAACAAAACAAAGTTGCTTATGTAAATACTATAGGTTCCTAAAAGCAGATGGTACAAAATATTACCAGCTGATCAGTTGTGACATAATAGACAGGAAAAATAAGGCAGAACACTATAAAAATATTTAACTTCATTATACAACTTTAGTAAATTGCCCTAGATTTTCATTTGGAAGCATCCCTTTACAAACCTAAAATGTGATCTGGACAGATAAAATTGTAAGATATTTGTAAAGATTTTCAAGCTAGAGTTTGAATAAAATCACATAGACATTAGTTTCATTGCAGACTTGAGCACAAGTGAGTAGCAATTTGCGTTACTCCTAACTACAGGAGCGAAATTTACCTCTGAGCAGCTTTTCTCAAAAGATTCCACCTCTGAACCAAAAAACAAACAAAAAGATGAAACATTTTGTTAATTTTCTCAAGGGTGGCATACTAAACACACTCTAAGAGACACAGGAGAGCAGTTAACTATACATAATGGTAGATACTATATAGTAACAAGGTTAATGTTCTGCTGCAACTCAGGTTGAGAAAGGCTGCCATATACAGTAAAAAGAACTCTTCCTACTGTTCAATAACTATCTGTGAAAATGTACTGACAACTTGTAATATCTTCAAATGTATTTTGTATATAAAATGTGCTGAATTAGACTCCAATATCAAATTTTGTGTTTTACTCTATTAAGACTATGCAGACACAAAAGTCAACAGTAAGATTATAGTCATAAAACAGTATGAAAACTGCATTTAAATACGGCAGACTAAATTCAGCTTCAAGTGCAATGAACTATGCGGGTATAAACACTGTGTGTACTGACACTTTCACATATATTTTAAGTAAATACAGCAATTCCAGGCAAGTACAAAATTAGCACACTATTAAAATAGCAAGATTACAAGGAAACCTCAAGCTATTGGTGCCAATCAATTGTTTGTCTGTTTGTTTATTTGGTACATGGTCTTTCTGTGCAGCTCAGACTCACAGCAATCCTCCTGTCTCAGCCTCCCCAGCTGGGGTTCCAGGGCTAGCATATCACATGGTACTGGGGATCAAACCTGGGTCTTTGGCTTGCCAGGTAGGCACCTAGACCACCAAGCTATCTCCCCAACCCCCAATCTACAGTTTTAGTTGGTGCAGTCTTGTACTAAATTCAAGATGCACAAAGTATTCTTGCTTAAAAGTATAGTCTAGGGGCTGGTGAGATGGCTCAGTGGTCTAAAGCACCTACTTAGTACAAGCTAAGCTAAGCAAAAACACAGGAACCGCGGTTCAATCCCCAGCACCACATGCCAGCCAGCCCTGCCCCCCTGGTGGGCTGAGCTGGCCACACACCCACACACGCAATAAATAAATAAATAAATAAATAAATAAAATATTTAAAAAAAAAATTAAAAGTGTAGTCTACTTGGGGCCGAGGAGATGGCTCAGTGGGAATAAGCACTTCCCTGTCAAGCGCAGGGGCCTGAGTTCAATCCCCAGTTCTGAAAAAAAAAGTATAGTCTACTTAACATCTGAATATGAATTAAAAAATAAAAGTTAACCTATGTGGATATTTGGATGAAACATTATTCAAAAATCAAATAGCATATAAATGCTATTTAACCAAATAGTATACACAAATTCCCAAAGATGGGCCAGGGAGATGGCTCAGTGGAGTAAGAGCTTCCCTGGCAAGTGCAAGTGCCTGAGTTTTAATCCCTGGTTACACACACACACATATACACACACACATACACACACACACACACACACACACACACACACACACACCAAAACCACAAATTCCCAAAGAGAGGCATTTGCCTACAGTAAATTCCTTCAAAACTTATTTATTTGACTTTTGGAATTTTTCTCCAATCCACTCTTTCTTCTAACTGCCAATGCACTGTTTGTCTGGATCTATGTAGTCTGTCCAATTTTCTGCCTCATTTCTGTAATCTATTCTCCATAGTGATCTTCTTGCATGCAATCTAACACTACACATTTACTAAAAACCTTCCAAAGGGTTTGAAATGAAAAGCAAAACTCAACAGCCCACAGTGATCTGTTGGTCCTTGGCCACCTTTCTAGTGTCACTTGGCCTATGTGAATAAGGAAGTTTCAAACTCCCCATCTCTCCAATTTCCAAGTTAGTTTAATTTATGCATCTGTCCAATTGACAAGTATTTACCAAGTAACTACAACATAAGCTAGGCACTACTCTATGTAGTGATACAGCAAGGAATTTTTTAAAAAAAGCCTTCATCCCAAGAAGATAATTTTCCATTGTAAATAAAAATACATAAAAGTATGCCAGATTCTTTTAAGTGCTGAAGGGAGATAAAATATAAACAAGAAAAATGGATAAGTACTAGGAGAATGACAGTAATGTTGTTGGGAGTCAAGAAGAAACTCTAACTGGGAGGTGCATAAGGCAAAATCTAAAGGAACTGACAGAACAAGTTATGCTCACTTCTACAGAAGCAGCTCTCCAGGGCTGAAAAGATGGCTCAACAGAATAAGCACTTCCTTGGTGAGCGCAAGGGCCTGAGTTCAATCCCCGCTTCCACCAAAATAATTAAAAAAAAAAAAAAAA